TCCATCTCACTGATCCGAGTATCAGTCCATTAAAAATGATATGTGCCACCTGAAGTTGGGTGAATCAAAGTGTTAAGCAATTTTTAGGACTTGGAATTTTTATATCTTAATCTTGATAATTTCATAAAAAAGCTATTAAATTCGGTAATTGACTTAACCTTTCCAGGTTCCTATATTGCAACTTGATTTATGCATTTTGTATAACATAAAATTTATGAATGAGTGACTCATCCATCTCGTTCTTAATTAATGCTAAATGTTCTACATCCGAAGATCCTCTGTTAAGAACTTCTTCACTTCTCACTGATAAAAGTGTTTCATTTTTTCCACTCGTCTAAATGAAGCGCAGACACCTGAGGATCAGCTGAAGATCACATCAATGGGAACACGCGTCCTTCGGTCGAACGGTTTGTTCTCTTGGGAACGTCCCCAGATAAAAACTGACTAATAACTTGCGCAACGCTAATACCACAATTATGATCCCCCGTTGTCTCTTTTTCCGATCTCTAACGGTAGCCTACTAATCACTGTATTCAAATCCGGCTTTTACACGCTCGCACGCGGCGCGGGCACCAGTCCAAGTGGAATCAGGTGGCTAGGAAGCGTCATCCGACAATACCTCGGTAATAATACAAATTATGTCATTGAAGAACGGTGCCCTCGCAGCCGGACTGCAAACTAGCTGCTTGGAATTTAGCAGCCGAGGGTTTCCTGGATAGTTACACCTTGCTTCCTCTGTTTGCAATTCTCTGGCTCTTGTCACGAGGTCTCCTATTATTTAATTCAACAACAGCAATCTTCCTCATGACTGCCACTGACAATGTCTTCGTCCAACTGTTTCTCAATTGAGCTTAGCAAATCGTCATAATCATTACTAGACTGCAGACTTTTATGCAAGATAAAACATTTATTAATTGAAACATTAACACTAGAAAGACTGAAATTTAGTATATACCTATATTGCCCAAAGCAGTAAAAATGACTGCATTGTGAAAGAATAATGTNTTTTTTTTTTTTTAAATTGCATGAAACATGGCAGTCTAATCGATCTTCCAGTAAACCCTTTGATGTTGAAATTAATAAGAATCTCTGGTTATCTTGAATGGAGTGGGACTCAAGGCTAAGTTCCCCATTTCCGAAACCAACGCGTGTGATCAGAGGCGCGCTAGTGTCCGGTGTGAAGAAGAGACCAATTATTATTTTACCGCAGGAACCACCGTTCGGTGATTAGAATAATTCTGATCAGAAGTTGTGTCAGCTATTCTGAGCCAGCGTACTTAGTCCCCGAGGGACCCGAGTTCCATCGAGCTTAAATTAAGAGTAACTATAATGAGTACCCAATTTGCAAGATGATAAATACAGCTTTAAGGACTCGGAAGGACATTGAAATTAATGGAAGGTTATTGCACCTTGGATTTATGAAATAACACCTCCGAGGCCCGAGTCTACTCTTAATTGTAGCTTGCAGTTCGGATCTTAACGCGATTTTCTTTTTCTTTACGTAAGATCGTTGCGATAAGATCTTCGCGCCGGCGAGCACGCTTCCTTTTACTCGCGGTCGACCTCGGGGATGCGTAGCGTAATCCCGTGAAAATTTCAAGGAGGGAAGACCGCCTCTCTTCGTACCGCAAAGCGTATAGGAAATAAGCTCGTCCTAAATAATCCGTTTTCTTTTTTACAATAAGACCCACACACACACATGCATACATACATACAGACACATACATACACACACGTTTGTACGTCTCTACTATATGGATATATTATCGCGCGGAAACACGAGGATGTTTTATATCGACTGTATTTACGATAATATATACACATTCATAAACATTCAGAGATGATCTTTTCTGTGTAGGGTTTTGTGTGTAGTGTTTGTTTAATAATGCATTGCTGGTGTGATTGTTGGGCTTATGGAATAGGGAATGTGTTTAGTAGGAGCTTTTGTTGGATTTGAATATCGGATTTGGTAAAGACGTCGATTAGTAGAGGAGCAATCGAGAATTGGCGATCAGATCTATTATCATTCTTATCAAAAACGTTTAATGTTTCATTTCATCCATTGTTGGTTTTATAGAATTATGAATATCTGGATTATGGCGTCCGGATCCGAGCCAACGCTCCCGATTTGAAGCTCGCGCCAACCGAGCGCTCTGATTGGTCGGGGTTTTTTGTTAATAACTCCTCTACCACGCCTCGGATAACTTTTTCGCTAAGGAAAATGTTGTTTAAAATAACATCAGGAACCACCCATTTCAATATCTTACACTAGTTTTGGGACAAACTGTATATGATTTGTCAATGAATATTTTTATCACCATAATAGATATTCGAAAATGAGATCTATTGGAACGTTAGATTAGTTATCAGGGTTTGAACATCATATGATATCCATAAAAAATCAGTTCAGTATTTTTATAATAATTTATTTGATAAGAATTGTTATTAGCTTTCTTTATTTATTCTAAAGGTTCAATAGTTAATTCGAATTTG